TAAAACATTTATTGCTGGTATTAAAACCTATTTTTACACTTTCATATTGTTTTGACCCCAGTTTGGCAGTTAATTATTTGCCCATATCAGGGACCCTAACAGGGTAAACCTAGGAACACCAGCAATTAAGAGGTGGTTTCATGCTCTTCAAAACCTCCTGATCAGAGGCCTTGCTGCTGGATGTAGTTTATCATCTTACCCAGGATGCAGATGTACAGTGCTGTTCGATAAAAGTGACTCACCTGATTTTTTTTACTAAATGTTCTCTTCTCCAATGAAACGAAAGTTGAGCTAAATTAAAAGGATAAGTGATCTAAAATCCAAAGAAGCTTTGAAAGCTCTTTGAATTTAGCAGTAAGTACTGTCATTTGTCCGTTCAGTATAATGTTCTAGGGTTGCTTTTCTTTGCATGGAAATGGTTTCTTAAAACCTATTGAAAAAGACCCTCAGGAGAAACAGTACAAAGAAATTTTGGAGTCTTGTTTGCTCCCTTCTGCTGAAAAGGGTGCAAATTGGCCCCACCAAGCTCATTTTATGCAAGATAATGCTCCTGTTATAATCAAAATATGACGGAATACTTTGATGAAGCAGGTGAGTGTTATGACATGGGCCCCAATGTCATAAAACTCACCTGCTTCTCAGAAAACTTATTGATTCCATAAATTGGAAATTTGTGAAGAATTCCTAAATAGAAAACATTATCCTGCATAAAAAATGAGCTTGGTGGGGTTGATTTGCACCCTTTCAGCAGAAGGGAGCAAACAAGACTCTAAAATTTTCTTTGTACTGCTTTCGCTCCTGAGGGTCTTTTCAATAGGTTTTAAGAAACCAGTTCCATGAAAAGAAAAGCATCCCCAGAACATTATACTGAACGGATGCTTGACAGTATTTACTGCTAAATTCAAAGAGCTTTCAAAGCTTCTTTCTTCGGATTTTAGATCGCCTATCCTTTTAATTTAGCTCAACTTTTGTTTCATCGGAGAAGAGAACATTTAGTAAAAAAAATCAGGTGAGTCATTTTTATCGAACAGCACTGGATGTGGATGTAGTTTATCATCATACCCAGGACACCCTACTTAGTGAATTTGAGTAAATGGATAGAGGGACAAAGTTTAGGCAAGATTAAAAACCAAATTTTATTAAGAGTTACAAAAGACAGTAAAGTGTGGAGAGCCAAGATCGTCCTGAAGGGGCACAGCATGTAGAATAAGAAATCTCCAGTTATATGCAGCTACACTTTTCGTAGTGCCAATTACCCCACCCCAAAATGAACAGTTTTAATTAAGAATGATTCCAAAGCACAAATATACAATAGGTATATGCCAGAAACAATAATGTGCTACCTTTATCAATCCTGACCTGGCATCTTGGCTCTCGTCCCCCCCCCCACCTGCTGTAAAGTAGTTTCTCTTTTGCTTTTTCTCTAAATATTTTCATGGTAATTTTTCTGATGAGCTTTCCTCATTTTAGAGTGACTATTTAGGAGTTCAGAGACATTGTGGTATTATGGTGACTATAGTAAAAATGGTAAGCAAGAATGTATTGTTTTAGTATAAGAACTACTTAGGACTTCATAGAGATTTTGAGATATTATGGTGGATGTAGTAAAAATGCTAAGTAAGAATGTTTTAGTATAAGGTGTAAGGAATATTATATTTTGTTTGGGTCAGTATTTGCAGTTAGCTAAGTTAAATATCAAACAGACGAAGACTAGTCTTCCTTATCCCTCCTTTTGGCCTTGTGCCATATTATCTGTATTTTACAGAAATATTGCTTCCCTCTTTGGTACTTCATCTTTATAAATTTAAGCGCAGTATGAAATCGGCAGCTACGGCTCATAATTTCACTTTTCAGTAACATATGATATTCTTATAGATGTGCAACATAGATTTTAATAACTTCAGTTCATTCTATTAGTTTTCAAGTACAGTAAATATAAATTTAAACTTAGTTTCTCAGTGCAGTAGATATAAATTTGACATCATTAAATGCTCTTTGACATTTAAAACTCGGAAAAGAGACACATCTTCCAGATATTTTCCCCCAGAATGTTAAATATAAGTGTCATTTGCCAAAAGTTTTGAAAATTACTGAAAAATAAAAAAATGATAAAATAATCTGAAAAAAAATGGTGCTGTCTCATGCCTTTCTCTCTCTTTCTCCATCTGAACATCTAAGATGAGAAGTTATCATTATTTACAGTATTTATATGCAAACTATTCTCCTCATCTTTGCTGTTATTGTCACAATGTTTCGGCTGTTGTACCTTTCGGACTTCATCAGGTGTTTGCCAATCCAAGTAACCCTCCGGTAATTTCAAACTGAACTTTTGGTCTAATCTAACGATTAACAGATTAATGCGTTTGTGAATTTGGTGATAGAGTAATTGTGAGTTCAATCCCTGGGCCAAGCAGTGTGTACTTAGACTGAGTGGAAATGGGGCAAGCAATAAATGAGTAGCACTAAATAAGAGTTAGATGAGATATCCCTAGACATGGACAGCAGGACAAGAAGAAACTATTTCCATAGATTATATAAAGGGCTCAGTTTGAAATGAAAGTTGTCGGAATCAAGAAGCATCAGATGAATGCAGAAGGGTGCAACTACCTCTCTTTCTCTCTCTGATAATGAAAAATTTGAATTAATTGGGAAGTTGTTGGACAATTAAATGATGACTACTCTCACTGATGTGACGATGTCATTTCTTGCTACTTCTTACTGGCTGAATATAACAGAAAAAATCATTATTTTAGACAATTTATTCATAGCAACACCTCATTTGTAAAATGGAAAGATATAATAAAATTTTGATGAGATAAACTTTTCAGTGGAATTTAATAAAACGTGTTTGGATGAATTATTGCAGTCTAAATTAGATCTTAATACCCTAATACTTAAAGATACCACCAAATCAAATAAAAAAACAAAATAATGGCCAAGTGAAGACATATATAAATATTTACCTTATCATTTAAGCATGAATAAAAAAAATAATAATAAAACAAAAAAGATTATTTACATAAAAAATGAAATACAATTTTTCAAACTCAAGAAAACATGAAAATGCTCAAGAATTACCAAAAACAGTAAATGTTTGGAAAACCAGATGTCAAAATTGCTACAACTGAAAGAAAGAATAGAAAAATTATTAAAAAAAACTATAAGGAGAGAATATAAACTGAAAAGCAAAGCAACAAAAAAGAGAAGTAACCATGACATTCTATATATATGTGCAGGTCAATACATGAGCATGCCCACACACCAATGCACACGCACACACACTTTGAAAAAAAATTAAAAATCAAACTTGTACCAATGAAAAGGGCATGTAAAAAAAAAAAAAAAAAAATATATATATATATATATATATATATATATACGTAACTACACTCGTCTCGGAAAACCTTTGGTTTCTTGATTTGCTAATGGTCAAATCAATTCTGAAGGAAAAAAAGGTTTTAAAAAAAGAAAGAGCGAGGAACAGGAACATCTGTTGAAAATAATCGTACAGCATACAGGTCCAAAGCCCAAAGAAAAAAAACCCTGATACAAGTAATCAACTAACTAAAAAAGTGCTCAATACAATGAGTAGAGCAGACCTAGTCAAACCTAGAGAGCCAGACAAACCTACCAAGGTTTCACCTAAGCGGATCGTCAGGGAAAGCTGCCTCCTTTCCTTGGCCATCTTTCCCTGACGATCCGCTTGTCTGGCTCTCTAGGTTTGACTATATATATATGTGTGTGTGTGTGATCATAACAAGTGGAGGAGTGTGCGCATAAAAGGTATCATGACTTCTGAGAGGTCATGCATTGAACTTCTACACATTGCAGAGCATAATACTGAACACCACTCAGACATTCCTGCAACCACCAGAAAGTGTGCTGTTCCTTGACCTATTTGTAGAGTGTTGTGTTCCTCGAGCTAGCCTTAAAATTTTTCAAAAGTGCAAACACAAGTTGGACATCAAGAGTAGAACATGCTGTTGAATCCTCATACATTGAAAATGACAGGAGTGTCTATCATATACATATACATACATATATATATAGAGAGAGAGAGAAAGAGAAAGAGAGAGAGAAAGAGAGAGAAGAGCCTGATGATTTCTTAAGATTTAAAACTGCCAGTCCCCATCCAATCATTGTTTCAAAGTTCATTGTTGTATCTCCAATATTGAGCACTCTTGCTCAATAGATATAGGACATATTAAGCAAAAATATATATATATATATATATATATATATATATATATATTCATATCTGTAAAAAGATTATGGGATTATTTATATATGAATCAGCACTTCTGCCTTGTCATGTCATGTGTCTTGTCATCCATTAGGACCATAAATGCACCACTTGATTTACAGATTCCATAGCAGTAATTGGTGTGTCTAATTTAATATAACCTGACAGATTGTTCCTTGTAGACTGATTGCCACCCAAAGCTAAAGACACCTAGTCTATCCTGCTATTTTGCCTACAGCTGAGGGGCAGAGAGACCAATTCATGCCTTTCTCAAATGCATTTGTGCAAAAGTTAACACTAGAGGCTCGGCTGGAATTTGAAACCTTTTCTCCAATTTCACTTTCCATGCTGACCTCTGTTACACTACCTACACATACTACTGAGCAGAATATCTTCACATGTTGCAGAGGATCCAAGTGCTTCTTTCCATGTAGTATCTATATCACCCTTCTGTGGACCAAAATCTTCTTGTACTGCATTTTTGCCTTCAATCAGAGTGTAGTATCTGTACTCTCTGTGTTATACACAATAACTCACTTAACAACCAGGTTTTGTTCAAATCATCCAGTTGTTAAACAAGAAATCAAAATAAGGGCTTAGCAAAATATATCATCATTTTTGACAGCATGGGTAAACTAATTCCTTAGTTAATATTTTAGAATAAGTTTAACAAAACTAACCAATGTCCTGACTTAAATATTTAGGGGACATATTGCCAAATGCTGGTAATTTAAATAAAAGATCTCATAGCTGATATACAGTCAAATCACATTGAAAACATCAGTTCTTGTTCAGTCACTGAAGTTAAGCAGTGTTGAGCACAGTTAGTAATTAGATGGGGGACCACTTGGGAATACCAGGTACTGTAAGCAACCTCCTCCAGTTCAAAATATGTTTTAGCTTTAAATAACAGGAAAAAGGGTTGATAAAGAATCAATCCTAGTTTATGAGAGCAGAATATTACAAAACATAGTTTTAACATTTCTGAAGAAAAACTTAATTTTCTGGAATATTTAAGAGTATGTATTTTATTTAACCGATGAATAGGTAAAGACTCTGACTATCAAATCAGTGCCCCCACTTCTCACCAATTACATATCAGAAATTAATTTTGTACTTAAATTTGTGAAAATTTCATCTCAACAACCTTAAGTAAAAATTTGTATTCCTGAAGAAGTCCTTATCTATTGTGGCATGCATTTTGTGAATAAATCTGCCCATTTATAATTTGGGATGGAGAATTACCTCCTTAGTCAAGCTGAGAACTTTTCTGCTATCCTCACATTCAAGTGGGTACTGGAAAGCAGTTTTTAAAGAGAAATTTATCAAATTTGACGTCTGGTCAGATTTTGTAAAGTGGGCTGGATTAAGAAATTTTCAGCTTCTCCTCATAAACACACACATACATTGTATTTTTTAATCATTTCACCCCAAGCAAGGCAATAATGCCACTAGTATGGAAGGAGTTACAGGGAGTGAAAGTGAGAGTGAAAGACTGAGTATAGGGAAGATTAAGGAAAGGACAAAAGATGAACAAGATTCAAGAAGATAGAAGATGCTGATTGATGCTGCATTTAAATTTTTGAAGATTGTAGTTATCAGAGAAGCAAGTAAATGGAAGGCAGGAAGTGTAAGAAAATAAACTGTTGGATAGAAGTGGTGGTTACATTTAGCTATTTCAACAGTAAAAGGGTGGGACCTAGGTGCCAATCTAGTAGCACGTTTAAATTCATGTAATTGGGGCACCAGGTTAAAAAGCTTGCCGGAGGAGTTGCAAATATTTGTAGAAAAGACAGAGAGAAGCCACATTATGTCTGTGAGAAAGTGACTGAAGTCGAGATGTCAAGTCAGGATCAATTACATTGCAGATCCCTCTTTGGATTTTGTCAACTACATCAAGATGAATAACATGAGCACCATATATTGGAGTATAGTGTGAATTTTTATGATAAATTTTTTAAGCAAAAAAAAGGGGTCACACTATAGACAGGTAATTTATTTTTAAGAGGTTAAAAATTATGCATTTTCAGAGACTTAGCACTAAACACAGGTAAAGTTTTTAAATTAATGCAGAAAAAATCGGGGCTCCCACTATACATAAAGTCAGCTTATACACAAGTATATACACTAAGCGTTTTCATAATTAGGCTACAGACTTATTGATCTGTTGACTGTGTGTTCTGTAGTATCTGTACACAATTTTGTTACACACAGTAGCTATCTTCAAATATAATGTGCCATATATATATATATAGCTATCACCTATAAATATGTGTTTCTCTTTGCCTCGTTAGCCAAACTTTCCCTGACGATCCGTTTAGGTGAAACCTAGGTAGGTTTGTCTGGCTCACTAGGTGTATCTATCTATCTATCTATCTATCTATCTATCTATATATATATATATATATGTATATTGTTTAATATGTTGTAATTGACATCTTTGATAATGGCTTAAGTAAGCCAGAAAGCTTAGATTGTATTAAAAAAATAGGGATCAATATTGTAAATTTCTTTCTTCGTTCAACGATAATGTTATTAAACTTTTCAGATATTACGAAAAAAATTTACATAAAATAAATAGACAACACTTGTCTATATTATTTAATGAAATGTGTATGAATGAAAAGATGCTGCCTAAATACACACAATATATATATATATATATATATATATATATATATAATTTCTTTGCGTGTAACAATTGAGGGGCAGTGTGCAAAATTTTGACATGAGACACACAGACATCACGACCCCATTCATGCCCACATGAAAAAAGCTACTGTGCTGACAAACTACAAAGCTATCCCCTTCTTTCCCTCCCACTGCGAACTACAATCAAGATGAAAGTAGCCAAGTGATGGAAAGTAGCCAAGAAAATAAAGATTGACAACTGCAAAGAAAGAAAGAATGAGAGAGAGAGAGAGAGAGAGAGAGAAGGGGAGCAATAGAAAGGGATAGAGAAAAGAGATAAATATATCAGACAAAATTTGGCCAGGGTTTATATTTTATTTCAGATTGAATTAAAGTTCACGTAAAGTTACTTTTCTTCAAGGTGTCTTGAATTGTAAGTTTGACTATCACTTTGAGATGATGTTCTAATTTCTCAGCAAATTTGACTCTCAGGAACACCCAAAGTGTGTCAAAAAACCATGCATACAAAAGCTATGTGTGCATGTGCACACACACACACACACACACACACACACACACACACACAATGGGGATAAAATACAGATACCTTTCCTGAAGTGATTATAAATTGTACTCTGTTCAATTATTAACGTTAACAATGAACTATTTTAAATTATAAAAAAATGTACTTGGATAAAATGAAAATTAATTACAGTATAATATATATTACTTATAATACATTCCTTCTTGCCATCAATTTTGATGGCATGTGTACACTAGTACATATATATATATATATATATATATATATATATATATATATATATATTATTGTTTTATATGTGTATGTGTCTGTTCCTTTGGTCTGGAGACGACACATCAGTTCCAGTCAATTAACCAATATTAGTCCCAGGCGTCAGTCCAGCTCACTTCAGCTATATTCAGTAAGTTCAGTTCCTACCCATACTGACCATTCTCTTTCTAAAGACATTAACCATGCTTCAGCTATAACACAATCTAATGGACCCATGATATTGTGGTTGTGTAATGAGGGGAAATGATTTCTTCTTTTCTCCCAACCTATTTACCAACTCGCTTTCATTTTGTCTTTTTCTCTTTTTGTTTTTTTCTTCTTCTTTTTATACATCTTTTTATTCTTGACACTTACCTCCCATTGACCTTATTCTTTATATCTATTGCAATTTGTTCATTGTATATATCTTCTTGTTTATTGATATCAATCCTTCCCATGCTTTCCTGTCTATCCCAATTTGTTTATATCTATGTACTTATTGCTACAGAACCAAAACATTAACCTGAAAACTCACAGTCATGTCCTTGAATAGCCTCGTCAGATTAAGACTTTCATTTGAATGCCACGCATGGCTCCAAACATGTTCAGAAATATCTAAACCCTCAGATCAATAGTTAAAAATGGCTTTGAGCAAGTGGAACCAGTAGGTCTTGGTTTAAATCATCCTTCTCTGAACCTTGTGGACTGGTGCTACCGAGTCACAAACAAAGAACTGTACCAAATAAAAGAAACCACATCACTTGAGGACTACCAATAGCAGCAACAACTAAAATGAATAGCACATGTAACTTTAAGAGAAAATAATATTGACATTCGACACTATTTCTAATAAAAGGTGAGGAAGAAAACCCCTCATCAATCACTACTGTCCTCCTGATTACTCGTCTTTTGTTCTTGCTCCTTAGTAATATTTCTGTTTTCTAATTCTTCCACACCCAGTAACCCCTTGTGTCTCAGTGGCTTTACTACCTTGATTGAGTTGAAGTCAAGAAAAAAAAATAATGGAAGGAGTGATAACAGCTACTGGACTTGAAAAAGTTATTTCCCTGAAAAATTGTCTTAGGATAAATATTTTATAAATTTCAATTGAAAGAAATACTACCTGCTGAGTAAATGGATGTCAGATGTTTCCTTATAAGGAAACAGCTAATGTTATCATTACCATTTCAATTTTTTTCCATCTAGATGTTTCCTCAGATGTTCAGGTAGCTTAATAGTTATCATCACAGAAAATAGAATTCAAATTATGGCCTATTCTGCTGCATTTCCATTCACACTAATACCCTTGGAAAAGGCATCACTTCTACTTAGCCAGCTCTGTGTTAAATGGCAATGTAGAATGGGTGCTCTCTGGCCTTAGATGCCAGCCAGTCATGGAGAAGATAATGGAAAATGAAGAAACTGTCGAAGTTAACTTCCTAATTTTCCAAATTGTTACTAGGGGACACTCTCCAGTTCCGTATATACTTGACAATATCTTTTTTTCACTCTTTTTCTTCTTGCTTTTCAGACAGCAACATGTAGATCTCTCATGGAGATATGCATTTTTCCCTTTGGGGGAAAAATCATGAATAATACATACACACACATATACACATGCACATACATACACACATTCACTTACTTCGTGACCAACAAACTTTACACATTCATTTGTACACACACATTTGCTCAAGCCCATCAAATATGTTATGTGCTGCTTTCCTCTGTCTCTCTTGCCTTCAATCTGTCCAGTGAGTATCAGGTTTTCCAAGCCCTCTTTCCTCTGTCCCTCTTGCCTTCAATCTGTCCAGTGAGTATCAGGTTTTCCAAGCCCTCTTTCCTCTGTCCCTCTTGCCTTCAATCTGTCCTATGAGTATCAGGTTTTCCAAGCCCTCTTTCCTCTGTCCCTCTTGCCTTCAATCTGTCCTATGAGTATCAGATTTTCCAAGCCCTCTTTCCTCTGTCCCTCTTGCCTTCAATCTGTCCAGTGAGTATCAGATTTTCCAAGCCCTCTTTCCTCTGTCCCTCTTGCCTTCAATCTGTCTAGTGAGTATCAGGTTTTCCAAGCCCTCTTTCCTCTGTCTCTCTTGCCTTCAATCTGAGTATCAGGTTTTCCAAGTTCTCTTTCCTCTGTCCCTCTTTCCTTCAATCTGTCCAGTGAGTATCAGGTTTTCCAAGCCCTCTTTCCTCTGTCTCTCTTGCCTTCAATCTGTCCAGTGAGTATCAGGTTTTCCAAGCCCTCTTTCCTCTGTCTCTCTTGCCTTCAATCTGTCCTATGAGTATCAGGTTTTCCAAGCCCTCTTTCCTCTGTCTCTCTTGCCTTCAATCTGAGTATCAGGTTTTCCAAGTTCTCTTTCCTCTGTCCTCTTTCCTTCAATCTGTCCAGTGGGTATCAGGTTTTTCCAAGCCCTCTTTCCTCTGTCTCTCTTGCCTTCAATCTGTC